CCCTCCCCAAACCCCACCCTCCTCAGGCTCCGCCCCCAAATTATCCGGGTATTTCCCAACCCAGAGCTGGCAACCCTAGTTAGAGATGGCAGCTAGCAGACTTCAGGGCTGACATGATTTGGGTTCTGGAAATGGTTTAGTCCATGCTCAGTGTGTTCTTAGGAAATAAGAATCAATATTTTCGAGATATCCTACCTTTTCCCCTGATTGGAGTATAAGACGTTGATGTTGAAAGGGTTGTCTGGACTTAGAAAATCTGAGAAACACTGGACTAGAATTCCTCTGAGAGTGTGACATGGACTTGTGTGGGTAGAGTGCTGAGTTCTGGTGCACTCGGGCCTTAAAGAAAATGGCGCCTATTTTCAGGTTTTTGAGGGCCAACGCAGACTGGACAGCTTTAAATTATGTACCCAAAAAAAGTCCACAATATGTAATTTAAATTTCTTAATAGAATTAATTAAAATCAAAATGCTGTGTGCTTTAAATGCTGGTATTCTAATTTATTTCTTTGACAGAACAGAGGCATCAAACCAAGTGTATGGAAAATACCTATCATTACAGGAGGAAAACAGAGCCAAACACGCCAGCCCACTGAGCACAGAGGGTCAGATTCCCCTATAAAATTATACTGCAAACTCAGCATCCTATGTGGTTGATGAGCAAAGGGGAGTAATAATATAATATTAGAAGTGCTGTTAAACAAAACAAAATTGGACGTGTGAGAGAGAAGGGTTTAAGGCTAGCTTTCCATGCGGGGGAGGGGGAAATCATACCTGATTTAATTTTAGGGACAAATTAAAGTGGTGGGATCCAGGTAGGACTGTGCTGGATACTCCTGTGCCTGTCCAATTGATTCTGAGTGTGCAGCTGTTCCACCTGGCTTATCAGGCAGACACCCAGCAGGAGGATACATTTATTAATTTAAAACATTTCTATCCCGGCTTTCCACCTCAATAAAGTCTCCAACGTGGCAATCATGCAGCGTTTCAACATTAAGAGGAAGAAGAGAGAGAAGAGAAGAGATTGGATTTATACCCCGCCCTTCACTACCCAAAGGAGTCTTGGAGTGGCTTACAAACTCCTTTCCCTTCCCCTCCCCACTACAGACACCCTGTGAGGTAGGTGGGGCTGAGAGAGCTCTCTAGAGAACTGCCCTTGAGAGAACAGCTCTGAAAGAACTTGTGACTGACCCAAGGTCGCACCAGCAGCTGCATGCGGGAAAGTGGGTAATCAAACCTGGTTCTCCCAAATTAGAGTCTGCACTCGTTATTAACCACTACACCAAAATGGCTCTCAGTAGAGCATCAAGACACCAAAACAGCATTTAAAAATAAAGTGTATACAGGGCTCTAGTCGGGGGGGAGCTCTCAGGTACGGAGCTCCGGAAGAGAACCTCTAGGGGGCGGGGCGGTCACGTGGTGAAGCCCCGCCCCTTCTTTACCCCGCCCTCTGCTTCGATCCTCATTCCGTTTGGGAATGAGGATGAAGCAGGAGGGTAAGTAGCCGGGCCTTCTGACACACTTCCGGTGATGTCAGGGGGTGTGGCCTTCTGTCACTTCCGGTGATGTCAGGGGGCGTGGCATATGCAAATAAGTTATGCTAATGAGTTATGCTAATGAGCTCCGGCAGCTCTCAAAACAGCATTTAAAAATAAAGTGTATATAAAATATTTAAACTATACATCTATTTTGCAAGTGTGGTCCCCATCTGTGGGTATCTAAATCCACAGATCAAGACCACACTTACCCAAAAGAGATGTTTCTGCAAACTCGGGGGACCTTCTACATTTGCAAAAAGATGACATCTTAGAAATACATTAGGGGAGGGATTAAATTCCCCCCAAACAGTGGTTGTTGGTGGCATTGAAGGAGCCCGGGAGCCGTGCTGGGCCCGGCAGCATTGGCACAGCCTGGGAGTTGCACTGGGCCTGGCGCGGTACAGCCTGGGAGTCACAATGGGCCCTGTGCCAGCGGTGGAGCAGCCTGGGAGACACGCTGGGACCAGCAGCAGCACAGCCTGAAAGCCACAGCAGGCCCAGTGAGAAAGTTGAGGGAAAGGAATCCCCCCGCGAATCTTGCGGGCCCACACTTGTCATCTATATACTATATACTATAAGCCACCCATGGTCCCCATCTGCGGACAGCTAAATCTGCAGATCGAGGCCACACAGGGGCTAAACAGATTTTCCAACAAATTTAGGGCAATCCCCAGGTCTGCAGAAAAATCTGCAAATCCTCCCAAATTAAAAGTAACATTCTCTGCGCAAGCGCAGAGAGCTCACTTACCTCCAGTGCTTGGTGGTGGTGACTTTGGGGAGTAGCGCTGGGGAACCGAGCTGGGTTCTGTGGTGGCTGCACATCCCACAGTTCCACACTGGGCCTGGTGGTGGATGAGTAGCCTGGGAGCCATGCTGGTAGGGTTGCCAACTGGCACTTACCCTTCCGGCGAGGGACTCCTGCTCGGCTCCCAGCGCGTGTGTGCGCGCGTGCCGCATGCACGTCACAGGGAAGTGACGTCATGACGCTGGGCACGCTGGGGGCGGGGCCACAACCATACAAAGGAAAACCATAGAGTTTTCCCTTGTATGGCCGTGGCCCCGCCCCCAGCGTGCCTGGCATCATAACGTCACTTCCCTGTGATGTACACGCTGGGGCGGGGTTCCCCCCGTGGCCCGATTCCCCGGCGTTGGGGAACGGGCCTCTGGGGTGGGGGGGTTTCCGCCCCCCAGGGGGATTTGGCAGCCCTACATGCTGGGCATGCCGCCACCACAGGCCAGGAGCTACTCTGAGCATGCTATTGCTGCCCAGGAGCTGTGCTGAACATGCTGCTGCCGCCACCCAAAGAGCTGTGCTGAGTCCACCAGCAGCAGAGACACAAGTCTGGGAGCTGCGCCGGGTCTGGTGGTAGTGGCTGCACAGCCCAGAAGCCACACTGGGCCCAACAATAGCTAGGCAGCCTGGGAGCCACTCAGAGACTGGCGAGGAAGTGGGGGGAGGGAATCCCCCCCCCGCGATTCTCAAAGACCTAGCCACAACAGAACATATCAACATCCACCTAGTGCCAAAGCCACTAGGGTTGCCACCCCCTGGTCCAGGCAGGGGCTCCCCCACTTTTGCAGGCTCCTCCCCACCACCAGCTAACTGGCCAGTGTTGGAAACCCCACCCCCAAATGCCCCAAAAGTGGCACGATGATGTCACCCAGAAGTGACATCATAGCCACCGCACCATCACATGGCAATGCTCTAGTTTTTTGGGGAAACTCTATGGTAACATTGGGCTCTGTCAGGATCCACAGCAAAACAACGAAGTACACGCTTCTAGGAAGGTTTTACTTTTATTGAAAAGCTATAGATGCAGTAACATGAACACTGTTAGGAATGGCGGGTTACCTATGTTCATAATATGATATAGGGCTTTCGTATGCAACCCCCCCCCCACGTAGCGCCCAATTATATGGGCTCCCGCGCGCGGGCATTTGGTCGATTTCTAACGGCTGCAGAAGCTGGGAACGTAAGACGCTTCCCACGAAACCTAGACGCACCAACTCCTCCAGTGGCCTTGAGAGATATGTGTTACAGCAAAGAAGCAATTAAGCGCCTGGAAAGGAATGCACAGCAATTAGCAACATACAGCACCCTCATGGCAGCATAGCTGACAGGCTCAAACCATAGAGTTTTGCCCCAAAACTAGAGCGTTGCCATGAAATGCTGCAGCGGCTATGATGTCACTTGAATGGAAGCATACAAAACCTCAGCCAGGCAGCCATCTTGGAATCAGGCCTCAGCTAACCCCACCTTCCCCAGGAGTATATCTAGTACTACAGCTCAATAAAAAGTATCTACCACTCAGCCACTACGTAGCAACTAAGAGAAACCTATATTACATAGCCCAAATCTCTCGATGATCTCTCCCAGCAGTTTTACATACATGATAAAAAGCAATACCAGATAAGGAACAGGGGCAACGTTGAATTTTGCAGGACCAGTAGGCCAGAGGTAAAGGGGTGAAGCAGCAGTCCCTCCAGCCCCCCACTCTGAAGCCTACCGTTGAGGTAGGACTGAAAACGCCATAGAATAGTGCTTCTTAATCCCAACCCCAAAAGTGATCCATAAGGATACTTTGATGGTATCAAAAGTTGCCAATCGGGTTGTCAGGTCCTCCCTGGTTAGGGATCCCAAGTCCCCCCGGGGGGGTGGGGAAACCCCTGCTCCAGAGGCCCATTCCCCGGCGGCGCCGGATCGGGCCCTGGGGGGAACTCCACCCCGACGTGCGCATCACCCGGAAGTGTCGCGGGCACGCCAGGCAAGCTGGGGGCGGGGCCACGGCCATACAGGGGAAAACTATGGTTTTCCCTTGTATGGCCGTGGCCCCACCCCCAGCGTACCTGGCATCCTCCCGTCACTTCCGGGTGACGTGTGTGCGGTGTGCGCACGCAAAAAGAGCGCGCGCACAAGACGCCGGCCAGGAGCCCCCCACTCCCGGCGAAGATAGACTTGGCAACCCTATCCCTGGTCACTGGCAGAGGATGAGAGGGTGGGTTTCTGGAGATTTAAGGACAGAGCCTGTGGCGGACGGGGACCTCAGTGGGGTACAATGCCACAGAGTCCCCCTTCCAAAGTATCCATTTTCTCCAAGGGAACTGATCTCTGTAGTCTGGAGATGACCTGTAATTCCAGGAGATCCCCAGGTCATATCTTACATGGTTCCTTCTCCCAAGCCACTTCCTGAAGAGCTGTTTATAATATATGTAACTAGCAGAGGCAACTTGAGAGAGAGTCAAAATCTGAAGCAGTATAAAGGAAGCACCTTATCCTAAGCAAGGCCTTTCTGGAGTCCCTCCAGGTTCCTCTTTGTTGCTCGGCGCAGAACTGCTACTTCGCTGGCTGCCGAGCAGGAAAATGACTTCCTCCCACATCTCTGGGCCGCTCAAAACGTTACTCTTCTTCTCCACATGGTAAAGTGTCAGTGAACGGCCATTTCTCAGAACAAAAGAGGAAGTAGCAACCCCCTACATATATTCAGAGAGAGAGAAAAGAACCCAGCTTAAAGGAGGGAAATCAGTCAGCAGTGCCCCGGCTGAAGTACATACAGCCATCAGGAATCTGGGGACAACTAGAAGAAAGGAGGACCGATGAATCCACAAGGTACCTGGCTGTTTGGTTATACACCTTAATAGTAGCAAATGGGACCAGTAAAGTGTCCTGACAGGGATACTGTCTCTACCTTCTATCTGAGGGAGAAAAAAGGTGTAAGGAGACAGACTGTAATAGAGATGTTCTTAACAACAATGATGTTATGGGCAGCTAAACAGGGTAACTTGCGGGGGCCATCAATGGGAGTTGTGCAATTTTCTCCTCACAACAACCCCGTGAGGTAGGTTAGACTACAAGATTAAGTGAATTGCCCAATGGAAAAAAAAAATACAGGCAAGCTTTTGGGCTGGGTAGTTTTCTTTGCCTGTTAAAAAGAGCTATTTTGAATGTGCAGAAATGTAAATAAATTACAGTGCAATCCTAAATGAAGTTACAGAAGTCTAAGACCGATTGCTTCAATAGACGTGGAAGAGTGTGACTTTGCTTAGGACTGCATTGTTAGAAGAGGGGAGTGAGCAACTGCATTTTTAAACCTCAGGAGTCACTGCCTGCTTTCTGATCCCTACCCAACCCAGCCCAGGGTCTGTGGAAGACCCCCCCCCAAACCTAACTTATAACTTCACTGTTACCCTAGCGAGTTTATAATTAAGGCAGAGATAGGAGAAGAAAGGCCCCAGTCCCCTTCCCCAACGTACCTTCCTCATCTCTTTCTCCTGTTGTGAGTTTTTCAGATGTGCATCTTTAAGGGGACATTTTGGCGGTCGGTAGCTTTCCTCCCCAACTAGATAAGCAATCCAGTCCCAATTGGGACCCACCTGGAGATGACTGCAAACAATGCGAGTCGGGTGGAGTTAGGGTTGCCAGGTGCCCCCCCCCCCAGCTACCAGCGGGGGGTGGAGGGCTAGGGTTGCCAGATCCAGGTTGGGAAACTCCTGGAGATTTTGGGGTGGAGCCAGGGGAGGACAGGGACCTCAGTGGAGTACAGTCCACCCTCCAAAGCATCCATTTTCTTTAGGGGAACTGAGCTCTGTAGTCTGGAGCTGTAATTCTGGAAGATCCCCAGGTCCTGCCTGGAGGCTGGCATCCCTAGGTGGGGAGGAAGAAATACAGTCTTTCTTAGATGCGAGGACCGTTTCTCTTGCCATATATGAAAGGATTTCTTTCTGAAAGATGAACTCTGTCATGTTTACCCCATTGTTCCAATTTGAGATATCGATCTACCAATCTACCTACCGAAGTCTGCCTTTTTTCGGTCAAATGGGTAAATTCCAAAGACAAGCTGTAGTTTCCATTCCTCCTTTTCGCATTGTCTTCAACTTTCCCCCACACCGCAAATCATGACTAGGACTCCAATTATGCGTCTGTTTTCAGGTACCTCAGCCCGGTGCCGTTCTCCCAAGTCATGCTTCACATCACAAACAGGGATGCCAGCCTCCAGGAGGGGTCTGGGGATCCCCCAGAATTACAGCTCATCACCAGAGATCAGTCCCCCTAGAGAAAACGGATGCTTTGGAGGGTGGACTCTATGGCACTGTCCCCCACTGAGGTCCTCCCCAGGCTCCACCTCCAAATCTCCAGGAGTTTCTCAACCGGGTTCTGTCCACCCTACCCTCCTGTGCCCCTCCAGTGGCCAGGGGGGACCTAGCAACCCTATTCACAAATGCCCCTTCCATTGGCCCAGCCCCACCCCCTCATTCCAGTAGCTAACTGTCTGTCCATTTTCCTCATTAGGCAGAAAAGCTCAGAGTCAGGGAAATTTTATCTACTTCCTCTTTGGTTTAGCTGAACAGCACCCAATGTAACACATGCTACAGAACTGAAGCCCTGGACAGGAAACTGCATTTGCAAAGAGGAAATTCAGAAACTAGGACCCTCCAGAGGAATGCAATCATGTTAGGGGAACAGGGAGGGGGGGGGAGGGGGTGTCCCAGCATACCCATTATTATTATTATTTTCTCCATCTGCCAGGAGGAAAGGCTTTTGGGGTGCTGAAGGCCCAGCAGGAAGAGTTCCTCGACTCTCTCAATAAGGTAAGGAGGAGTGAAGGCAAACATAAAAACTAGATAACTGGGGCTGATTTTGAGGAATTCTTGCTGCATTTGGTCCAAACAAACCATTTTTTCCTCCAGAGTCGCATTCTTAAAAAAAAAAAAAAGGAGGGGTTTGCAAAAGAAGCCAACTATGGACACCACTACCATGATAGATCAAGATGGGTAGCCATGTTAGTCTGTCTGTAGCAGTAGAAAAGAGCAAGAGTCTATTTTAACCTTCCAGGACAGGACATTCAGTTGCTGACCTAAGAATAGCAGTTCTCTTACAAAGGAATTTCAAAGGGAGATTAGAAATAGAGGCCGCTGAACTGCAACGGATACTAAAGCTCAAGACAGTGCATTCTCCTGGACTGAATCAAGACCTAGGTTTCCTGTCTCATTACCAGTGCTGATTTCTCCATGCCTACTACCCCTCTGCGTATCACACCTAATCCAATCATGCCTGCTATTGTCATTCACCTGCTATTGTCATTTGCCTGCTAATGTCATTCAGCATCTGAAATCACTCCACTCTCCAAGGTATAAGAACAGATGGACTCACATGCTAGCTGTATCTGAAAAAGTGAACAGTGATTCATGAAAGCTCATCCCCTGACACAAATTTTGTTAGGCTTTAAGATGCTACTGGACTCATGCTCTTTTCTACTGCTGTGGACAGCACTGATTGGCTAGCACTTGAATTGTCACCACAGTGACAAGAAGTCTTGTGTGATGAAGATGGACAAACATGCGTGCCCCAAACTCCACCGATCGCCACTGATTGAAGATATCAATACGACAAATGCACCTGTGGTTTCTACCAAGTCATACCACTGGTCCATCCTGTTTGGTATTGTCTCCTCTGACTCGCCACAGCTCTTCAGGATTTTAGACAGAGAACAGCCTTGTCCCAACACCAGCTGACTGAAATCCTTTAGGTGGAGATGCCAGGAGAATTGCACATAGAAAGCATATGCTCTTCCACTGTAGGGTTGCCATCTCCATTTTGGGAAATAACTGGAGATTTGGGGCGTGGAGCCTGAGGGTGATGTGTTTGGGGAGGAGAGGGGCTTCACTGGGGTAGAATACCATAGAGTCCACCTTCCAAAGCAGCCATTTTCTCAAGGTGAATTGATGTCTGTTGCCTGGAGATCAGTTGTAATATTGGGAGATTGTCAGCCACCACCTGGAGGGTAGCAACCCTATCTGCCAGCACAGCAAAGTGTCCACTAACAAATTCATAGTAGAGGTAAGGTTAGAGATGTAAAATTTCCGGAAATTTTGAAGCTCGGAAAAAAACCCGGTTTTTTTCGGGGGGAAATGGAAATTTTCGGAAAAATTGAAAAAAATGCTACATTAGCATTTCTTTTGTCTTTTCTAGTTTGAAAGTCATTCTGTTACTTTAGGAACATAAAATATGACTATGGACATTTTTACTTGGCATGAAATTATCACAACTAGCATATTAAAAATATAGTGTATCCAAACAATTATTACAAACAGAATACCCACCCACATGCAAAAACAAAACTGAACCTTTTTATTTTCTTCTGACAATCGCACCTCCTAAAGGAAGAAATGCATCTTGTTCTTGCATTGGAGAGTTCAGTTTGTAACCTAGGACTTGCTTGTCCTCAGTGCACAGAAATTACATCAATTTGATACCACACACACACACACACACACACACACACACACACACACATATATATATATATATATATGAAATGATTTGGAAAATATTTGAACACCTGATCTTAAAATATTTTATTCATCATGTTAAAATAAAATGTTCCATAATCAATTTTTTTCTTTTCTTTTCTTTTTGCAATTTTTCCAATTTTTCGGAAAAAAACAAAAAAGGCTTCAGGAAAAAAACTGGAAAAAACGGGTTTTTTTCTGAATTTTTCGGGTTTTTTTTCCAGGCCTTCACATCTCTAAGGTATTATTGGGAAAGGTCATTCCTCATTGGAAATTAACTGATCATTGAATTAATACAGTCTTCCTGACTTTGGGGTCAGGAAGCAATTTTTCTCCATGCCCATTTGACCTTGGAGGTACCTTCCAACTCTATGATTCTATGATCCTAATATTCTAGGCTGGGGGTCCCCAACTTTTTGAGCCTGCGGGCACATTTGGAATTCTGACACAGGGTCGTGGGCACAGTCACAAAATGGCGGCCACAAAATGGCTGTCAGAGAAGCCAGAGCCAGCCACAAAATGGCTACTGCTGCTTACCTTCAATTGTACAGTGAAGATCCTTGTGCTGTGGTGGCAGCTGCTGCCATCACAACAGCTCTAGATTTCTGCTCAGCCAGTCAAATCTTCGCTGGCCAATCAGAAGCTTTACTGGGCAAAAGCCCCACCTGGCCCTACCCACTTTCATAAGAACATAAGAGAAGCCAATGTTGGATCAGGCCAATGGGCCATCCCGTCTAAAACCACTTAGCAGTCACCAGGAAAGGTTTTGGCAGTCAGAACGTCGCCAATGGACACCATGTTTAGGAACCCCTATTCTAGGCACAATAATTAAGAATGAAAAAAATGTGATCTTCTGTTCGAAGTGACTTACAATGTCATCCTAAACAGAATTACACCCTACTAAACCCATTCAAGGGAGTAATTACTTAGGATGCCGTTAACAGCATTCTTTTATGATGTCCCTGAATACAGGTATGAAATCGGCAGCATATGGCTTCCACCCTCCCTTAGCTATTGTCTGACCTATCTATCCGTCCATCCTGTACATTTTTATCCTGTCCTCCCTCCCTCTTCCCAGCTACTCAGGGTGGTTTATTTATTTATTATTTTAATTTATAGCCCGCCCTCCCCACAAGCGGACTCAGGGCGGCTCACAAATAGGGCACATGCCAATACATAAAACAGGTTAAAACAGCATAAAAACAGTCATTATACAGTATACACGGTTCTTCCTTCCCATTTCATCCTCACAACAACTCTGCAAAGAAGGTGAGGCGGAGACAGGGAGTGAGGCCCAAGGTCACCCAGTGAGCTTCCGTGGCAGAGCGGGAATCTGAACTCAGCTCCCTCGGGTCCTAGTCTGATCCTCTAACTATATCAGGGGTTTCTCCTGTCTTTTATAGGAATTCTTGGATGACCCCAAGTACAGCATGGATGAAGACCTTGGAGAAAAATTAGAAATGTTTAAAAGTGAGTGGCATCGATGAAGGACTGGACACTGTGTGAGAAGGGAATTAGTTTTCTCCTTTGAGCTCAATGAAAATTGAGTCTGTCTTTTTAAAGATGTTGTGATGCCACCAGAGCCAGTGGGCCCCTCAGATTATGAGTGCCTCTAAATGTGTATAGGTGCCATCAAGTCGCAGCTGATTTATCACAAACACCCAGCAAGGATCATTCAGGGCAAGTGAGAAGCAGAGGTGGGTTTGCCATCGACTTCCTCTGCAGAGTCTTCCATGGCAGTCTCCCTTCCAAGTACCGACCCTGCTTAGCTTCTGAGATCACCAGAGACACGACTATATACCACATCCTGGCTTCTAAGTAAAAATAAACAAACAAATAAGCCTAAATTTCTAGTTTAACTTTTCCCCCATGATGCTTTGGGGCCTCTTAAACGTGACATAGCTTACGACTTACGGCTAGGGGTCTCCAACAGGCAGTCAGAGATGGATGGGCAATTTAACTTACACAGAAACTTTCCAGGGAGCCACTGCACTGGGTGGTCACCAATGTTCCCTCTAAGCTGTGGGGTCTTGTGAGCAGAAATTCTGCTTTGTGAGCTGCCGGCATTAAAGCTGTGAGCGAGTGACTTGGCGACTGCATAAATTAGCTTGCTCTGGAGCCATCCCTTCCTGAGCAAAGGCAAAAAGGTGTGAGCTGGAAGCTAAAAAACTATGAGCTAGCTCACACTAACTCAGCTTAGAGGGAACACTGGTGGTCACACAAGCAAACAGAGCCAAGCCCCAGCACCTCGACTGGAGTCTCAGGTGTCAAGAGTTGCCAGGTACTCCCTGGGAACCAGCAGGGGGGACTTACCGGGAGCAAAGAGAGGCCTAGGCCAGTGTTGCCAGCACTGTCACTTCTGCTGTGGACTGCAAGTTTGTTGTCATCACATCGCCGGCAATGAGGGTACACTCTGGTATTTGAGTAAAAGCTCTATGGTAGAAGTCATTTTTACTTAGGTTTGCCAGGTCTCTCCTGACAACTGGCGGGGGATGGGGAGAGAGTTACCAGGAGAAAGAGAAAGGGCCAGGCCACCTCGCCGGTGTCGCATAGGTAGCAGTGTCATCATGCCAGCATTTTCCAGGTGACACTCTGGTATTTGGGTAAAAACTCTATGGTAAAACCAGCTTCTACTGTAGAGTTTTTGCCCAAAAACCACAGTGTCATGATGACGTCACCTGGAAGTGGCATCATTGCACTGGGCATGTCGTGCAAGGTCACCATAGAGTTTTCAGCCAAATGCTAGAGCGTCCCCGTGAAACATGCCTGGCATGGTGAGATCACCTCCAGGTGATGTAATCGCACTGGACACGTCAGGTACTGCAGGGCTCTTTGGGGTGGGGGGACCCCCGCCCCCATCAGAGAGGTGGCAATCCTACCCGCCAGTCAACTGATCAGTGGCTGGGGGGCAGGGCCTGGCAGTAGAGGACCCTCACCTCCACCAGGGTTCCGGCGACCCTATTTTTACTGTAGAGTTTTTGCCCAAATACCACGGCATCCCGACATTGCTGGCAATGTAGGCCTACGCCTCCTTTTGCTGTCAGTAAGTCCCCTGCCAGCCAGCTGATTGACACCAGGGGAGGAGCCCCAGAGCAGGGGATCTGCTGTTCAGCGGAGGCCTGTCAACCCTACAAGTGCCTAGGGTTGCCAGGTCGCCCCTGGCCACCAGCAGGGGATTGGGCGATGTCACATCAGCGTATGTCCCAACCTACCCAACCCTCCTACTGGTTGCCAGGCTCAGCCTGGTAACCCTAGGTGGCTTGCTAGCTGCTACAGAGTAGCTGGTTGCATCCCCTGAAGACCCAGAAAAAGACTGTGAAAAGGTCTACTCTAGGAGTTTTTTAATGCTTTTATTCCATAGGATTGTTCTCTGTGCTTCGTAGCCGATAGCTTCATTTCTGGGGCTCTTCCTCTTCCCTTTTCTGTTTCTAGGACAGAACAAAACTTGGTAGCATGAGGGAGGGTGTGTGTAGCTTGGAGTTCATTGTGCAGATGCACTTCTCATTAAAGAAAAGGTTGGCAACCCCAGCTTAGGGCCTTGGCACAACTTAATCGGGCCCAGAATGCCCCTCGCATCAATGGGTTATATTTTGAAAGGATTAGACAAACCCAGGGAGGGCAGGTGTAGCAACAGCTTTTGGATAGATAAGAATGGAACCTCTGTGTTTAGATGCTGTAAAGTACCAGATGCTCTGGACACCCTGCAGGGGAATGGATGCCTCCATCACACTCTGCTTTTGAGCATCCCAGGGGCATTTAGCGGGCCACTGTTCCATGCAGAATGCCAGACTAGACAGGTGCCGTGTGTGGCCCAGCAGGGCAGCCTTTGCATTCTGATGTCAATCTGCTCTCTTTTGCAGAGAAATACTTGGAATTTGACCTTAATGCACAAGGGGACATAGGTGAGTGACGTTCGTGCGTCAGGTTCGTTCTTGTTTGTACATGTGACACTACTCCGCACAACAGCTGTTCCTCCTCTTTGACCAGAAATGGACACTCAAAGGCCTGCAGGTCACAGATGGGTCCCCCAAGTCATTTTATCCAACCCTTGGCAACACAACTGAATTTTATTCAAGGTAAAAAGTGTGCCCTGTTTCCTTCATTAAGGAAAAAAAGAAAGATGTGCTCCAGTTGTGAGAGCAATATTCCACACTCCAATATTATATCTCTTTAATACAGAACAGTACCTAAATATAAAATGCAATTATAACGCTATGCCTGAGCTCATACACTCCATGATTTTTACCGCTAGAAGGTACTCTGCTTTATTATGGAGGTTGGCAGCTTATTATTCATTGTATATGGATATTTTAAAATTTATATTTCGTTTTATGGCATTTTGCCTTTTGTACACCACCCAGAGCTGGTGTAAGCCAGGATAGGGTGATTAATAAATAAAAATAAAAATAAAAAAATAATAATAATAATTGGAGGACCAAAGAGTGGGTCATGAGACCAACAAAGGAGATATATACAACAACGTTAGAGTCCAGTGGCACCTTTAAAACCAACATATTTTTATTCAAGATGCGAGCTTTCGTGTGCAGGCACACTTCGTCAGACGATGAAATGGAATTAGATATCATAGTTGTATATATAGGGGTGGGTTGTTAAACTAGCATGCAAAATAGTGAAAATATATTTTTAAACAGATTAAAAGAATGACACACTCGGTTTCTGGTTATCATCAGTTTCGGTTCAGGGGGGCAACATAGGTACTAAATATGTTAGAACTGGAGATTGATGTGTCCTAATTTGTGAGAATCTCATCCTTAGACACACACACCCCATTCCATCTCCTGTATAGCATGGAGGCAAACTTGACAGCATCTTGGCTGTGCAGAGTATTTTTCCTTGCCCCCAAAACAAAGAACTACTTTTAAATCTACCATCCCAAATTACATTACATCTTCAATTACATTTATATTGTTAAGAGTAGTAATAACATTTTGTTTCACTAAAACTTGGAGTTAACTGACAGAATCCTTTTTCCTGGGGTGCAGTGTTATGTCAGAGATCAACGAGATATTGCATTACAATCACTATTATAATATACTATTAGACAGACAGACAGACAGACAGACAGACAGACAGAAAGAGAAAGAAAGAAAGAAAGAAAGAAAGAAAGAAAGAAAGAAAGAAAGAAAGAAAGAAAGAAAGAAAGAAAGAAAGAAAGAAAGAAAGAAAGAAAGAGAAAAGCATCAAAATATAGGGGATGTATAGCCCTACTTGGTGAGAATACGTATGTGAAGACTGAATGAGTTAGCATATGTAATGGGATGAGAAACCAATATCCCTGTTAAGTCCTGGCAGGGTGTTTGTTCCGAGTGTTGCAATAATTTGTCATTCATCTATTTCCCTTTCCATTCTGTTCCTGAAGTTCCTTTGCAATAAAATAGCTACTTTGAGGTCAGCCATTGAATGCCCTGGAAGGTTGAAGTGTTCCCCTACAGGTTTCTCAGTCTTGTGATTCCAGATGTCAGATTTGTGTCCATTTATCCTTTGGCATAGGGTTTTCCGTGTTTGTCCTTTGTAGAAAGCCGAAGGGCAATGCTGGCATTTAATGGCATATACAATGTTAGAAGATGAGCAAGTGAATGCACCTCAGATGGTGTGCTTGGGTCCAGTGACTGTGTTGGCAGGGTGTATGTGGCAGCAAAATTGGCATCTGGGTTTATTGCAAGCTCTGGTACCAATGTCCATGTTCAAATTAGATGCTGCAGTATTGTGGATGAGGAGTTGTTTGAGATTGGGGGGGCTGTCTGTGCGCAAGAAAAGGTTTACCTCCCAGTATTTGTGAAAGAGACCTGTCATTGTCCAGTAGAGGTTGTAAGTCGTTGATGATCCATTGAACTGTTTTGAGTTCAGAGTTATATGTGACCACAAGGGGTATTCTGTTATTGTCTTCTTGGGGGCTTGTCTTGGAACAGGTTTTCTTTGGGTACCGTTCTGGCTTTATTAATCTGTTTCCTGACTTCATCAGGCGGATACTTGAGTTCCGAAAGGTCTGTTGTAAATCTCTCAGGTGGGAATCCCCGTCTGTAGGACTAGAATAGATGAGGCTGTGTAGCGTAAAGCCTGACTATATGCAATGGCTCTTTTGGTGTGTTTAGGAGCAGGGCTATTTTTGGGCAGGAACGCACAGGAACGGAGTTCCGGCTGGCTCCCAAGTTGGCCACGCCCAGCAGGAACTCATTAGCATAATAGGCCACACCCAACAGCAGAAACTCATTCGGATTGGCTACAATTAGGGGTGTGTGGCCTAACATGCAAAAAGCCCTGGGTTTTGACAACAAACAAGGTAAAGAGAATAAGAAGCAAAAGGTGGGTGTGGCTGGATGACCACACGTCTGGTAACATAGGGTGTGGCCTAATATGCAAATGAGGTGCGCTGTCAGGGGTGTGGCCTAATATGCTAATGAGTTCCTGCTGGGCTTTTTCTACAAAAAAGCCCTGTTTAGGAGAGATATGTTACTTCTGGCATCCAACATGCCCTTTTGTTTTACAGATAATGTGACCATAATAGAGTACAGAAACCTGGAACACGAATTTCCTTGCCCCCCTCTAGGGGCCAACATGGTGGAAAGTGCCATCACATCCCAGGCCCCTTGTGGCAACACCATATAGGGTTTTCAAGACAAGATAGGAACAGAGGCGGTTTGCCATTACCTGCTTCTATCAGCCCTGGACTTCCTCTCCCACCCAAGTACTAGCCAGGGCTGACTGAGCTTAGCTTCTGAGATCTGACAAGATCAGGCTAGCCTGGGCCATACAGGGCAGGGCAGGAGCCAAGATAGGCCAAGTCAGATCTACAAAGGTAAAATGATATCTCTGCATGCGGATCCTAAGTTTCATCTTAAACTGAAAAAGGTTTCTGTCCAAAAATTTAGGTGGGGCAGATTGGGATGGGGGGATAACCCCAGGGGTCATTTCCTGCAGGAGCGCACAGGAGCGGAGCTCCGGCAGTAAAGAGCCCAGGGGGCGGGCACGTGCAACAAGCCCCACCCCCTGCTCCCAGCAGCCCTCAGTCAGAGCAAGAAGCAGCCAGGTGAGTTGCAGAGCTCCCCCTGGCCCCCCTCACCCCCCATCCAAAACAGTCCAATGGCACCTTTAAGACCAAGTTTTATTC